TTATTTTCGTTTCTATTTGAAATTTGGGACTAAATGAAATCCATTATATAACTACAACAACAACACCAACATGAAAAAAATTAAACGAAACCATTGCTTTCCCTATTAAAGAGATGGTGTTATACCAAGTTCTGTGAAGACTGTTGTATTACCTCTGTCGAGGGTCTCCTGAGCCGAATAGGATCAGGATTAACCTAACAATATCTCTTGATTTGAGTTGTTTTTCGAAATTATAATTTACGAACTTGAGTTTGGTTTCAAAACTTATTATTTATAGTTCATATCAGAACTGTTTAAATATAGATCTGGAGGTTATTACTACAGTTCTGGACCTTGCATTTAAATTGAATTTTGTTAATGTACTATAAAAGGAATACATTTTCAGCTTAGAGTTTATCTAAGAAGCTATATTTACACATTTTAAATAAAAGAATTTGTAGGGCAGATCTTGTTTGTGAGATTAAATAAATGAAACTGTATATGTTATGATTAACATTTATAAGTTATGGACTCTGAAATAATTTTGGAAATAAGACAGTTATAAGCTCAGTTACATTGAAAACTCTTGTAGCATTTATAAAATTTAAGCAAATTTTATATTTTTAAGTTATCCATTATACTAGTCTAAGAATTAATAAGGTAGGTAAACTGATAGAAAACTATTGTAGCAATTCATATACGAGAATTCATTAAAAACATGGGTGTACTTAAGGTTGAGGTCAATTTCATTCAACGAGGTAACCTTATAGTGTCCATTTATTTTTACGTGAACTACTCTATCTCTAATATTTGCAATTTTCTTGAAGGTTACTGATCATTTATTTATACTGATTTAGGTTTATATGAACAATTAATCTTTCAATTTTTACATTATCATCATGATACTATTTAGATTATTCAGATTCGAGATATAGTATCGATAAAGGAATTTAATTTCATAGAAGGAAGTTAAAATTGACACAAATATTTTTAAAAAATATTACAATCAAGGTCAGCGAAAGCATCTTTGTAAACGCGAGGGTATTGGAAAAGGAAACCGGAGTAATAACTATTATTATATTTAAATTTTTTTATGTAAACTTGAAAAGTATCTTATTAGAATCAGTACATTTGAACAAGGTAAAATTTTTTGGAAAAATCAAGTATGTGATCTGGATATTTTTTTTAGTAAAAAGGATATTTTTGATTATTGTCTTGAATAGAAAAGCCATGCAACCCAACATTGCTCGACCTAAATTTTAATATCGTAAGTTACCGAAACATATTATCAGTGCCTATTCCAGTCAAACAATTAAACCGGCTCCGCTTCGGTAAAGTCAATGGTTACATCATAAAATTAAAGGTTAAACTTAAAGTTGTTTAGAGGACAAAAAGTTCTATTCAAATTAAGTGACTTGACACTCGTAAGTCGAATGCGATTGTGAAAACCTTAATGGCAAATACAATTTGAAGTTTGAAGAATGTTGGGACTAATACGACGAAGCATGTATGAAAGTTTTATTGGTAATCAAATTAAAATAAATGAAGTGTCCTACTTATAGCCTCACTATATTTTTTTAAAATTATATCAATCTGTACCAGCTGCTATTTTTGGCTTGCCTTACTTCTCAATTAGGTCTTAAAAAATTTTAACTTTGAGAAGTTTCTTTCAGTAGAAGCTGTACTGCGTGGAACTGTGAGCATGATTCTGGTTACTATAAAAACATTTGAATATATGTACTTCCTTTAAATTATTTTTTTCAATATATTAGACGAGTTGTTTTATATCGTTGATTGAGTCTAGTGAGAGTTCGATTTTAAAAGCATCAGTTCCTCATACAGTTCAATAGGCCGAATTATACCTAAAACATTACAATGCTTGAGAAGGTTTTCGTTTGGTATACTTTTCATATGATTAATGTCATATATCAAATCAAATTGTTTAAAATATTTGCGAGGGCCCTGTAGGCGCGAGGCCGTCGGCGGTCATCAACGTCGCTAACGCCTAACGCTACCACTGATCTCAATATATACAATTAACTATGTTTTGTTGATTATTTCAATAATTACAACGTTTCATCTATACATATTTAAGTAAAACACTTAACTCTTGGCTTAAATTTTGTTAAGATATAATTTAATTACTTTATATAATATTTAAATTGAAGACATTTTTATTATTACTCTAATTCTATTCTGTTTTAATGACACATATTTCATTTAAATGATTGAAACGCGTTATTGACTACGATTTAGTGAGTTTTTCAAATAAGTCGGTGGTAATATATGAAATCTTTTTACCAATACCATTATTTAGATTTGAAGCGTGATAAATTAATTTTCTACACTGAAGTTTTTAAACATGCGCCTATAAAAAGACCAAAATATCTTGAATCCAGTCAAAATTAAGTGAATCATGCAGTCAAATCACCACAGGCGTTGGTTGTTGGTACCAGATGCACTTTAAGTACACTTTAACTTAAGTGCTCAGCTAAGCATTAAGTATAAACGTCATTTAAATGTATTTACTAATTCGAAACCAATCAATCAGACATTCCAACATATAATCAATCACTAGCAGATTACGTGCGTCGCTTAATAGCTTAATATTTACACTGAAAAACTCTAGTAGTTAAATATGCAAAAATATTTTGGCATTAATTTTTTAAATCGATTGAACGCAAAACATTTTCTACAAAACAAAAGCTTCAACAACTTTTTCTGTAAATTACAAAAAATAAAAACACAAAAAAAAACAAACAAATTAATTATCCTTTGAGCGCTTGCAAATGGTATTTACATGAAACGCCCACTCACTATCAAACATGCTTTAAATAATAAATCTATATAACTCTTATACATTGTATATATTATATATTGTATTATCACAAACTAAAATTAAATAAAATAAAAAATTGTATTTTTGTTTTTGTAATTGCATTCTAAATTTAATATATTTTAATATATAAGAAACTAACTAAGTGACTACTTTAGCACTAAACACAAAAATACTAAATTGATACAAGTCTACTTACGGTGCATATCCATGCAAAGCGGTACCGGCTGCAACAGCAGCTGCATTTGCCGGTGCGAGGCGTGCAGCATATGCAGCACCGGCAGCCGCAGCTGTTGATGCTGCATTTGGTGCATTCGCGGCGGACTGTGCTAGTGTTTGCAATTGTTGCTGTGCAGTTGGTTGTATGGCACCGGTGGCAGTTGGCTGCACCTGCTGAACCTGCAGAGCCTGCTGCAGACCAATCTGATGTTGCTGATGTTGCGCTTGAACTTGAGCTTGAGCTGCTGCAACGGCTGCAGCGTGACGCTGTTGTTGCTGCTGAGCGACGGCAGCAGCTGCTGCAAGTGCTGGATTGAAGGGGCCAGCGGCACCCATTACACCCACATGTCCACGTTGTATGGCTACTCCACGCATTGCTGCTGCGGCGGCGACAGCTGCTGTTATTCATTCAGCATAACAATTCATGCGATAATTTTTTGTTGCAAATCATTTCGCGTAGAACGTAACGTTATTCACATCAAATCAATCATCAACGTTGTACAGATAGTTGGGTTGTATGCGTAATTGTAATTGTATGCAAATTTGTTTTTGTATGTATGCGAATATAGTAACAACGACACAGACCATTACATTTACAAAATTAAATTTTTTTAACCGTTTGTTGTTTTTGTTTTTGTTTGTAGATTTGTTGTTTTGTTGTCATGTGTTTTTTGTTTGTTTTTGTTTTTTTTTTTAATGTCATTGTTTAAATTTTTTTGGTGTGAGCGATAAATGTGGGCGTGTTTGTTTATATGTGTTTGTTTGTTTGTTGTGTGTAATTTGCAAAAAAGAAGAAAAGGAAAAGAAAAAGAACGAAAAACGCATGCGGTTAGTTTATTTGATTTTTCTCTCAATTTCATAATAATAAAAAATTTATATAACAAATATATACAAATGACATATAAGTTTAAATTTACTATTTCATACTTATTATATATATATATATAAATATATATTTATAAAGATATAACTTTTGCTTGTATATTAAAATTAAACATATAGTTTGTAATTCAAATATTCTTTCAATTAAGAACAAATAAAAGAAACATATTCAGAACTACATAGAATAAATTGTTTATATATTTTTAAAGTTTTTATTTCCAAGGATGCTGTGAAAAAAATTATTGCAATTAATTTATTTGTAAAACATTAAATTTTATTAAAAATTAATATTTAGTTTGCTATTTGATTGTTAAAAAATGTGCCTATTCAACGATTAATAAATAAATTGCGTTATTAAAATTGTAACTGACAAAGATAGAGGAAAATTGATTTTTTAATTAAGCATTTTCCGACGACATGTCCTGCGGGAACTTAAAATTTGAAC